ATCGACCTGTTTTACTTGCGAAAGATAACGGAACATGAACTCGTTCCGTGCGACTTCGGAACCCGAAGGAACACACCAACAACGTTGAATTTACCCGCTATCTTCCAAATATGGTATATTAATTTATTCAGTTGTTTATTTAGAGTGACGTCCGCAGTCGAATGCGATTGGCTATCGATGTCAGTGCAAAGGTCATATGAATATTAAAATTAAGTGGGCGGAAGGAAAATTGTATAGGAGACAAGCTGGAGTCTCGTGTGGCGATAGCGATAACACCGGGACGAATGGTCTGGGGTAGACGCGGCGCGACGACTGCCTTCCTTAAAGTTTTTTTTATCCTACATTGAACTTTTGATTTTGACCCTATTAGTGTGTTCATGTGTTCTCATGCGGCGTTCTTAATGTGAGTGAAGCGCCCCCATAGTCATACTACTGTACCAACGGTCATCATCAAGTCACTCCCCCCCCCCCCCCCCGGTCACAGACGTCTTGACACAATTGTATTAAAATATGCCAATGAAAGATAAGAAAATTATATTTAGTAGCAGAAAAGTTAATTTTATTAAATTTTACCCAGAAGAGAGGTAACTTTGTGTATGCACAATAACGCGAATGGAATACTGAAACATTAGCAAATATTTCCATAGCAACAATATCATGGTAATCTGTATCATATACTACATAAGAATAGAGGCCACGGCGCAGCATTTTTTTTCCTACGCAGACGGGTGTTATTTGACGTGTCCCGTGCGTGTCGAATCGTCTTCCACCGATTGGCTCTTATAACCAGACGTTATATCCGCTACTCAGCAGACCCGGACGACTAATAAAGTTTGTTATTAATCTAACAATTTCTAAACCAAATTTTTAGAGAACATGTGATCATTTTATGTATATATTTTATTGTGACATTCTTGTATTATTTATTGGCTAATTTTTTCAAGAAATATTGGTTATTTCAGGTTTCTGTAACGTTTATTATTCCAAATAAGTAGATTTTCATCTCAGTATTTATTATGCTAAGCAATAACGAATAGTACTGTAGAATAGAATAGAATAGAATAGAATAGAATAGAATAGAATAGAATAGAATAGAATAGAATAGAATAGAATAGAATAGAATAATTAATTACATCCTTAATGAAATCTGACATCTGACATCTGACAGTTTTTTTGTAATTGCTGCATTCAAGCTTTTTAAAATATACTTATACTATAAAATATAATACTATATATATATATATATACTTAATATTATGGTTCATCATTTTGCACAATATTCAAACAAATATGGTATAGCTCTTATTTAACAAGGTATTTGAATTAAATAATTTACTAAATGTTAATGTCCAATATCTTGAAAAATGGGTCATTAATGAGTAAAAGGGTTAATACTCAACTAACCTTTTTAATCAGGTACTACCTTGCGCATTTAGCCTTGAGGAATGTTAACTGGTGCTCGGATTTGCTTCGAAACGTGACTCAGACGGTAAGTGATGTTCTTTTTGGATTTCGATGAAAATTAGCTAGCATTTTTGCATATGAATGCGCGTTTATAACACTTTCAAGAAGACAAAATGTAAAGACAATGAACGTATTACTTGTATACTTGTCCAACTTTTTAAATTCGTGAACACGACAGCTGTGATGCAGTAATTAATCGGTCTTGTTCTGTTCATGATGTCGAGCACTTTTTTCGAAATCGAATTGTTTGTTTTTTCCGTTCCATGTTAGCGAGATATTGCAAATTTGCGAATAATATTTGTTAGTAGATTTCGTTTCTCATTCGTTATCTTGCACGATCGAAATAGCAAACCGACGGTAACTACTTTTCGGACTCTGGGTGTAGAATGGATAGGGTTTGATTTCCAAACTCTAAGGATGAGACCCAGGTTTTTGGCTAATTTTTGCCCATTTTGTTGAGGGAGATTTCTCAACCTTTTGGTATCAGCTGAATAATTATATTAAACATAGACTCGAATTTCATTTACGATACGAAAAATATTTAGAAAAAGAAACAATTTCAACAAGTTTGAATATCCTTGCCTGTTTTTATATATTTACTAGTAACTGTTACAATGGTCTAGGTGATTATGTTAAACACATTTCATCAACTACACAACACTAGTTTCCCCACCATGTTTATTCAATAAACAGTGGACTCCATGTGTTAACCTATTGTTCTCTGTTTACCTTTACTTCAAGATGTTTCTAAGCAATAACTGTAAAAAAGTAAGAATTTTCATTATGTCATTAAGACCATGAGAAAAACTTTTATGCAAATTACAACAATATGCTCACAGATGATCAGAAACAGCAACAAGTTTTGTAAATATATAACGTGCGAATTGTCAAATTATACCTTCTTTATTGTTAAATACAAGTTTGACTGTGGGTCTCATTTTTAAATATAGTTTACACAAGAATAATATGCATGAAGTTCCTAAGGAGGAGGGGTATTTAATAAAGATGATGTTTTTATTATAGATATTCAGTAAATATCACAAAATGGAACAAGATAATCATTTCATTGTGGTTGACGACAGACTGCATCTGTCACAACATCAGGATTATTCTTATACGAATACTGGGATTGGTACAAGTGTAACACTATCACCTGTAGCTTATCATGAAGAGTATATTTCTACAACTCAAGAGAGAGACATTGTAGTTGAATCTCCAGACAGCATTAGTGGCGAGTTTGCAGTGAATGTCCACTCACTACCTCAGAGTAGTGCTTGTCGATATAATATAGATAGCCTACTTGGTCACATGCCATCACCTATAACTAGTAACAGAGAACCAATAGTGAGTTCAGGAAGCAGTAATGATGAAGATGATGATGATGATGATGATGATGATTATAATGGTATCCATGGTAACAAAGAACATATAGATACATTTAACACTCAGTCACAAAGCTATTTTATGGACAGCAGGAAATTTGGCACATTAGAATGCACAGATGCATCAGGAAAAATGCAAATGCCAATAGTGGGAGAGTCTCCACAACATTTGTTATATGCAAGTCCTAAGAATCCCTATTTGGGAAGTTGTCTCAGGAGTGAAATAGCCAAAAATCATGAGAATGCTAACTCAACTAATTTCCGAGAAAATACAATAAGTGCAGCATTACTGACTAATGAGCAAAATGTAAATACAGATATTCAGTCTTGCGGCCCTAACCACAACATTGTAACTGGCACTCCGCATAGTGTGGACGGTCAGTACTCAACTTTTCTCTCTCGTGGAATTGAAGTTGATCCTGTCCAGTACAGAGCACCATATATAACTTCAGAAATAGTCACTAATCAGCAAAAACCAGTTCATCCATATAATGCCTCAAACTCATTGTACCATGGGCACAACAGATTATGACTGGTTTTAATGTTCCATGTGTGCGTGCCACTAACACAAATACGATGACCCCGAAACCACCATCACAAACAAGCCAAGGTGGAGCCGCAAGTGTAGCTGTAGCTGGTATTCCGTCAGTGACCGAAGCCACTCAACAACCTTTTACATTTACTACTGGTCAGTGTCGTTACACAAAACCTTTCACATTCAGTGGTGTTTATAACCCATTTGATAATACTTTAGATGCACCCTTATCACAGTTTCAACTACAAGAAGTCTCTGCTTCGACAAGTTCCACTCCGCTGAACCAAACTCCGTTTATTTTGAATCCCAGCCAGAGACTTCCAGCCAAACAGAGTTACTCCATGTCATCATTGATGTCTCAAAATACATCTGGAACAATGCATGGAGCTGTGACTGAACATTCAATATCAGATCAGGTACAAGCTTTGCTTGGAATTAGCAACAATTTTGTACCAACGTGTTCACAACAGCAGCAAAGTTCCGTACCATCATATTCCCAGCATCAACAGTTGGTCACCCAGTACAATGAGACAACACCATCATATACAAATGCAACACCAGGTTATATGCAGATAACAAACCCAGTTATGAATAGTTGTAAACAATATCAGCTATCAAACCAGAATCCATCTAGTGCAACAAGTTTTCCAACTTATCAACAAGTAGTTCCGTTACCACAGCAAGGTGTGTCTAACCAGTACCAGTCAGTTTATCAGATGCCGTTTATACATCAAGTTCAACAGGCACAGCTCCTGGGTATGTACTCCAACATACAGCCTGCACCAGTAAGACAATTTCAAACAGTCTCTTCAGTCGCAGGTATGAATTTTAATTGACATAAACATTTAACTAAAATAATACATGTATATATTTAAGTGGCATTGACTATAATTAAAAACAAATATTACTTAATTTATAATGGATTATTATTTAAATAACAGTTATCCAGTATTAAAAAAGTATGCATTCTTTGTTAAAGCGCGGTGGCTGTCGCGCAGCGTGTGTTCGAATTTCATGTAAATAAACAATGTATTTTACACGCGTTGTGTACGTCGCTATGAGTCCCATAATGAACAGAACGCGTCGCGAAAACTGTCGCCTTTTAAACAAAAGAATATTATTTAAAAAAAAAAGTATCAGTTACAGCTAAAGAACTACCAATATTAGGATAAATTGATAAATATGTACATGATTGTTTTCCTGCCTACTCATGAATTAAAATACCCAGAATATATTCATTTTGCAATAAACTGTACTCCAAGACAATATAAGCATATTGACTTAAAAAAAGTTGGGGGTCACCAGCCTTATTTTCGAGAAATTGATGGTTGTATTTTAGTAGAAAGTCGCCATTTTGGCACTATTATAACACTTTTACCATAGGTTCCTATGGCAGATGTAATATCTCAAAATCTAGTTTGGTGACATAGGCTGAAAAAAATCATATATTGTTTAAATGATAGAGTACTTTTTTTGTTGTTCTGAATTATTTTAAAAATCTGGGTTTTAAAAAGTGTCAACAAACCTTAACTGTAACACACAAAATAATGATATTTCACTGTACCATGGGACATTAGCTTCATGATTGGACATAATAAACTAATGAACACTGTCATGTGATTTATGACCAATTTTGTCAAAAATTGTGAGTAGGCTTCTACCTTAACACATTCTTAATCTGTAATCTGTAGAATGCCATGCAAAGTCAAGATATTTCACATTTCAGAAAACAAACCAGTATCGTTTTTTTGTTTTTGTGTTATGTTTGTTCAAAACTATTGTTCAAACTTGTTGCAAATGGTGTCTTTTTGATTCCAAATTTAGAATAAAACATATAGAACATTACACACAAAAAATACTAAATGGGAAAATAATATGACTAAAGTTGTTAAAATAAGTATAATTACATGAATAATTGTTCATGATTGTAATCACAACAGTTGTGAGCAGCATCTTATAAATACAAATGAGATTTTTGACTTTCATCACAATAAAATGGCAAGTTCACCATGCAGTTGCTTTGCTCTAGACACCACTAAACTGTTGTTAATTTACATATATAAATAAGGTCTATTGTTAGATTTTGTCATTTGCCCATATCAATGCTATTGAATGGAATAACATGCAGTTTTTCTCCCACATTGCTCAACTGTTGATTACAATAGACAGGGTATCTATTTTTTTTTTCTTCTGAATGTTTCTAACATGGAATGACAACCATGTTTTATTGTACTTAGATCTATGTCCATTTTAAGGATACGACTTCAATGAAGACTATTACTATTACAAATTTTCATTCTAAGGAAAACGTTGATATACTAGTATGTGGGTATAATCAAGCATTATCTTGGTTGATTGGCATATACTTTTTTTTTTACCTCAAAGGTCGTGCTCATCAAACAAGTACTCTCCTAACCAAGAAAGAAGTTCCTAAAAAATTCTTTGCAAAGCGGTATTTGATGATAAGTCTACAGATTGGATCTTGGAAGGTAAGGAAGACGTACAGATCAATTCAATATATATTATCTTATATGAAAGTGGGTGTAACCTGTTCATACTTTGCCTTATATGGTATTGGGTGTACCCTGTTTATACTATGCCTTATATGGAAGTGGGGGTATCCTATTTATACTTTACCTTATATGTAAGTGGATGTACTCTGTTTATATGTTGCCTTATATGGAAGTGAGTGTATCCTATTTATACTTTGCCTTAGGGAAGAGTAGGAAATCAAACAGGCGGTGCACCGCGGTCATTACCGCGGTGGTGGTGGGTGCTCGTCGGTCGACCGCATTTTATGCAAATT